TTTTATATAATAAATAAAAAATATATATAAATTTATTAAATAGTAAGGAATTAAAATGTTTAAATATTTTTATTAATATGTTCTATTTTTTCTTTTCTATTATTATTTATTTATTTATTTTATTTACTTAGACATTTTGATAATAAGATTTACAATAATAATTTTTAATGACTTTATTTAAATAAATGTTATAATTAATGATAAACTAGAATTAAATTTTATCACTATCATATATTATCATTCATATATATTATATATAATTATAATCATAAAGGTTATTAATTTATAATTTGTGCTTCTAAATTGTTATATACCAAATTTTTTTATTTTTTTGTACTTTTAATATTATTTAATCTGATTTAATAAACTAGTAATTTTAAATAATTTAATAAATTGATATTATATCATTTAGTTAGTATTAAATTTAAGTAATTATTAAAATAATAATTAATTAATAAATGATACATTAAAATAAATATCTGCATATTTTTATTTTTCATAATATTTCTTTTAACAGAAATTCTTTGATTTCTTCATTTCTCTATCTCTATAATTGAAACCTTTTTCTCTTTTAAATATAATAACAGTAATGATTTCATCAATACAATGTTAATAATTATAAAAGTATATATTCAACTTATTTTGCAGTAAATATAACAACTAAAACTTCATTAATAAAAAGATATAATATATCTTAAGCCTGAGGATTACGGAATTTATTTCCTGCATATCTGGCAGACGAACCTAATTCTTCTTCAATACGAAGAATTTGATTGTATTTTGCTAAACGTTCTGAACGGCAAGGCGCACCCGTTTTAATTTGGCCAGTCGATAAACCAACAACTAAATCAGCAATAAACGTATCTTCTGTTTCTCCGGAACGATGAGAAACCATTGTGCCCCATCCAGCATTTTTAGCAAGTTTATGAGCATTGATTGATTCTGTGACAGTACCTATTTGATTGACTTTCAATAACAAACAATTGCAAGCTTTTCTGTCAATAGCCATTTTGATCCTGTAATGTATAATAAATTTGATAAGATATATATATATATATTTTATTTTTTTTATTATTTACATATTTGTTATCATTTATAAATATAAGAATTAAATAAATATTATAATTGGTTATATAATTTTTTTATTATTATTAAATTTCAAATTTAATTATTATATACAAAATTTTAATTTTACCTATTAGGATTTGTGACAGTAACGTCATCACCCACAATTTGAATATCAGTAGAAGATGTTAATGTTGTCCATGAACTCCAATCATCTTGATCAAATGGATCTTCAATTGATACAATTGGGAATTCTTTAATAAATTGTAGGTATAAATTCTTTAAGGAATTTGAATCCAAATATGTGCTTGGATCAGATTTTTCATTCTTAAAATTTAAATCATATTTTCCATTTTTATAAAATTCTGATGCAGCAACATCCATACCAATTTTGACTTTTCCATCATATCCAGCAGTCTAAATTGTATAATAATTAAAAATTAATTTAATGTTAAATAATAAAAATATCAAATTAAAAATAATATCAAATTATAACTTTTATAATAAATTATAATAATTATAACTAACAGGATATAATATATATAATATATATAAATTTGTTGATATATATATGAAATATATATTGAAATATATATGAAATATTCATATATTATGAAATATATATATAAATTTATTGAAATTATTATATAATAATTCATTGAAATATATATATATTTTTTAAATAATAAAGTTTTTTAAATAAACTTACTTTGATAGAATCTATGATCAAATTTAGAGCTTCTTTGTTGTCCAAAATATTTGGAGCAAAACCACCTTCATCACCAACAGAAGTAGCATCAAGACCAAACTTCGATTTAATACCATTTTTCAAATGATGATAAATTTCAGTACCCATTTTCATGGCATCTGAGAAACTAGAAGCACCTGTAGGTAGAATCATAAATTCTTGCATTGCTAATTTATTTCCAGCATGTGAACCACCATTGATAACATTAAAAGCTGGAACTGGTAAAATAATATTCGTATTTCCTGCCAAATCTGCAATATATCTGTAATTATATATTTATTATATATATATTTCATAAAATTATTTATTATATTTTTTCTTTTTCAAACATCAAAAATAATATTTATAAAAGAAAAATTTTGTACATGTTTCATTTTATAAGAAAAATAATTTTAATAATTTTAATTATTTTAAATTATTGTATTATTATTATTCTATTATATTCTATTATATTTCATTATATTCTATTATATTTAATAATATATTTAAAATTCATATATAGTAATATAATAACGTTATTAATTTATTACGAAATAATATTACATATATAACTTTTTTAAAATATATTATTACAAATTATAATATGAAATTTAAAAAATAACTTACCTATATAATGAAGTTTTTTTTTTTGCTGCTCCTGCTTTACAAACTGCCAAGGAAACACCCAGAATTGCATTTGCTCCAAGATTTGATTTGTTTGATGTACCATCAAGTTTCAAAAGCAAATTATCAATATCACTTTGTGAAGTAACATCCAAGTTTGACTAAATAATAAATATTGTTCAATTAATATATTATTTAAATATTATCATTTAATAATAATAATAAATAATAAATCATTTTAATAATTGATAAATTTTGTTAAATTAGCAAATTAAAAAAAAAATGTTAATTTTTAATACCTTTATTAATTCTGGTCCAATAATATTATTAATATTATTTATAGCTTTAAAAACAGACTTTCCATGATATTTAGATTTATCATTATCTCTAAGTTCTAGAGCTTCATGAATACCAGTAGAAGCACCTGATGGTACCTCAGATCTAAAGAGTCCATCATCTGTGACAATATCAACCTAAAAATATATTATAAAAATATAAAATATATCAAAGAATAATAATAAAAACATTTTATTTTTTATTTTATTTTTAATCACAATTAAAAAATTAAATATATTATAAACTTTCATACAAATTATAATTTTAATAATATTAAAAATCATATGCTAAAAATAAGTGTTATATAATAAATTTTTATAATTTTTTTTTTAAATTATAAAATATAATGTTTTTATCCATAATTTATACTATTATTAATATATTATTAAAATGATACATTTTTTTATTATTTTACCTCTACAGTAGGATTACCACGAGAGTCAAAAATTTGACGTGCTTTTATGGATTTAATGGATGATGACATTCTATTACTGCGAGTAGTACTACGAGTAGTATATTTATTTATTAGAAATCTGAAACAGAAATACACATAATAACGTTAGTCAAAATAAATAAAACATTCATTTAATGTAAATAATTTAATATAAGGTATATTATAATATATTACAATTTCTAAATTATTTTAATAATTAATAATGTTAAAAAAATAGTTTTTTTTTAATTCATTAAATTGTCTTTAAATTTAAATTTTGTTTTAAATATTTGTCGGAAAAATATTATAACCTCCAAATTAATAGTATTGGAAAATAAATTGTTTTTCCTTAATTTTATCATTAGATTGTTTTTAAATTTAAATATTTTAAATATTTATCGATAAAATGCATTAGAATATCGATAATAAGTTTGTCTTCAAAAAAATATCTTTGACCTTGACAAGGTTACTGGAAAAAATTTAATATTTAAGAATTAAAGAACTTACAATGACGTTAATATTTTCTTCATTTAAAAATGTTATATATTTCAATAGTATCTTTTAAAATTACAATTAATGATAATAATATATTTGAATAATCTCATATAATGATCTTAAAATTAAATTTTTGTGCACGCTGTACGAATTACAAATACATATTATATTTTTTATGAATTAAAAAACAAAACACTATAAAAAATATGAACATAAAATTTTAATATAGCAAATAGAAATTCTTGAAGATATAATTTCTTATATCTATATAATACAAAAATGAAAAAAAATATGCTTACCTAGCGTAACACTCCCCTTAGAACGTTCGAAGTAGAATGATATTGTCCTACAATTGACCTCAAATTACAAACGTAGTTCGTCTATCGATTCTGATTCCTTTATATATGTATTTAATCGCGAAGATAAAACTAAAGTTCTTCAATCGATTATTAGTAAAAAAATAATATCTATATAAAATTTGAAAAAAAATTTTAAATTCTTATCAAATATAAATTTTCTTATTAAATATTAAAAATTATATGATCTATATCTATTACATAATTAATTGAATATAAGTTTCATTATGATTACTATCTTTGTATTATATTATTCATGGTTTTTCTTAATAGCGATTTATATACAAATGCGCGAATTTATAAAATAATATTAAAATAAATGAAATAAATATTAAAAAATCTAAGCTCTGTATACTTATATAAATATATATTTAATATTTTTATACAATCATATAAATATTAAATTAAAAATATTTTTTTTCTTTTTAATTTAGTTATATCAAAATAATAATATCAATTTTACTTATATTTATTATATTTTTAAAATAATAAATTATAAAAATAAAA